AAAAAAGTTTATTAAACATAGTCATTTATGGACGTCATATTTTTTTAATGAAAAACAAATAATATATTTTTTTAAGTACACAATATTTTTTTGTTTATTTGATGTTGTTCTATCTAATGAATTAAATTATTATATTATTATTTATGGTCGCTTGTATATTTTATGTTATTTGACTGTAAATACTGCTAACTGCTTATAAATCTGTATTAAAAGGTACATATTACATATTTATTATTTTTTTTACATATAGCTTAATTTTATATTTCTGTTTGACTTTCTAATAATAATCAGACAAAATTAATTATATTTATTACCTCATAATTCGGTTTGTGACGTTGAAATACTGGAAAATCTAGCCATCATTAATTATTATAGCATTATACACGTACACGGGACTCAATTGATTAAAGATATACAAAGCATTGAATGCAGCTCTGGTCTGATCACTCTGACAAAGACCTATATTGGCACCAGGAAGGCCTACCTTGCGATTGGAGAATTGACAATCACTACGAACCCGACTATGGGTTGCCCAGAGAGTTCAAAATTTGGACTAGACATCTGGAAATTCGCGGTCAATCCTTTCTTGTCAGGCGATCTTTCTGCTGGGACAGAAACCGTCGCATACGCGGACGATCTGGCGCTGCTCATCTCCGGGAAAGACTGTTCGGAACTCACGAAACGCGCTAACGCACTGCTAGAAATGGTATCAAGATGGCCCTCTGACAGAAAACTCACCTTCTCGGTGGCCAAGTGGCAGATCCTATGAATGAAGGGCCAGCTTAGTAAATCCCTTGACTTGCGTCTTGGCGGCTAAGATCAAAATGACTCTCGAGTCGAAATATCTTTGGGTTACGTATAATACGGAGAGAAAATTAAGTAACTATCTAGCGGACAAAGCTGCGTCCTCGGTAGCACTATTCAGTCGATTAAAATCCGTGGCTAAGGCAAGTTGAGGCCTTAAAGAGAAGACAACAAGGATCCTCTACAAATCATTGTCCTGCTGCGTTTGGTGTATGGGCTGAGCGTTTCATGACGCAGAACCGGCAAAGGACACAGCAAACACCGCCAAAAGACGGCCGTTACTATAACGCGCAATAACGGGCGCGTAAGTCCACATCGAAGATGGCGCTCTAGGTCATTGTCGGAAACCTTCCCCCTTAAATGTAGAACTAGTTTCGGTTGGATAATGTTGAAACAGACAAGGGCACCGTTAAGAGAGTTAAAATGTCGGCGTAAGACGATGCTGAAAAGGCGTAACAGTACCACGATACCATTATACCTCTCTAGCAAGAAAGATGAGTCGCCAATGACAAGGGTAGGTGGACGGCATTTTGGTTCCAGACGTCCGGCTCAGACTCGAGAAGGTGTGGTTCGTCTCAGACCACTTCGTCTTGCAGCTCGTGTCCGGACACTGGTCTTCAACTAGTAGCTCCACCGTTTCAACCTTCGAGGCGAGGCAGGTTTCCCCTGCGGTTTCACCGAGGAAACTGCTGTGCATGAGCTGTTACCCTAACCTAACCTAACCTCTACGGAGGCCATGTTCCTTGCGTTCAAAAACTTCTCCCGGGAGGTCCTAGAACGTAAAGACGAAGGGATATCTCTTTGGCGTGACCCAGACCCATAATTTATCATAAAACTGCGTTGAGGCGCTTGGCTAGAGGGCGACCGTAGATACGGCGCACTGCCAGACATGCGGACCGCTCTCCTTTCCACATAAGCATAAATCGTTCGAGTGAGCCTAGCCGTAACAAATACCTCCCGGAAAACTGCGGCTGTGGAGCGAAATCCTACGGGTACCTGATAGTGAAAAGCGAAGCAGTAACCGATAGCCGGACTCAAAAGAACTAAGGTGGTGATCACAGCATCGCTGAACGTCCTCCGCTCTAGGCTAGCCTAGCCGGGAGAGTGACGAGATACTCCGCGGGGCTAATTCGGAGCCCTCTCTCTATGACTTATTTATTGCCTAGACCGAGAGCTCGAACGATAAAGACAAGACCACCCTTCGAGCAAAACACGTGCGCGTATTCAGCCGACTCGAGGCTTATTACGGACGAGGCACTTAAACAGAAACGGAAATCTGTTAACATAAAAGTGAATCGCTGCGGTACACGTATACGGTGCTCCGGCGATTTGCTTGCTGAAATAACAGTTGGGAGAGCCAAAACGCCAGGTTCAAACATCGTACCACGGTACCTGGAGTAAGCCCCGTCAGGCCTGCTTGCTAATAGCATCCTGACGCTTCGGATGGCGACGGTCAAGCGACACGCGACCGCGGGTGTTCAACTTCAACGAGTACCAGTGCACGTCCGTCCGAAGCGTAACCGCCGCATTCGAGGAAGACTTCGTGGCGGTTGTGAGAGTAACACCTTTGTAGAAGGGTTTGATTCGGGCGGGAAACCGTCGGGTCCTGTCCGCGACTGCAGCTTTTTATGACGTCCAATGTGAGGTGGCGTCTCAGGCGGGTTTTCGGGGTGTCTGGCTCTCGGAAGCTCACCCTGGTTTTCACCCAGAGGAGATTACTCCGCGGTTTTATAAAAGGCCGAAGTGTCTCCAGGGTAAAATCTGGAAGAACTTATCAAACTCCGCAACACACGGAAAGATGTATGCGTATATGAAGTTGGACCCCCCAATTTATTGCAAATTATTGTAAATTAATTGAATATTATTGTAATTACAATACCCGAATTTGTAACCGCCTTCGGCCGTTGAGTCAAACAAGAGTTTCGAGGCGATAATTTCAAGTCTAAACCTGTCTGATCATTTCCGAACAAATTGAAAGTAATTGTAAATCCAATTCTCAAATTTGTAATTTATTAGATAATTTGTAAATCGATAAACAAAAATCGGGCGGCCAAGTTCACGCAATCACCGATTTTGACCGATCGAATTTGGACGAATTGCAATTAATTATAAATTATTTGTAAATAATTGTTAATTAAATTTTTGAATTTGTAAACCATCAGAAAAATTAAAAATCTAAACATAAAAGTCGAGGGGCCAAGTTCATGCAGTTCCCGATTTTGGCCGATCATGTTTAGCAATCTGAACAACTATACGTTGGCAGATTTTGTGTTATTAGATACTTAAGAATAATCGTTATTTTTTTGTTAGATAGTATGGAAGTTATAATAATTTCCAATTTAATTTTACCCTTTCATTGCTTATAGCTATTTGAGAATTTTTACCATCTACTACCTTTGAAAACCTTTTTGGGTGAATTGTATTAAAAATGTATTAGATTATTATAGACATGTTATAATAACTTGATTCGCCAAAATTGAAAAAATAATCAAAATTTTGTTAAAAAGCCCGAGCACTTTTTATGCATTGGTATTGATAAATTCATTATATAATAAACGCAATGTTTTCATCAAAAATTATAGAAATGTAGCATAATACTTAAAGTAAAAAAATAATTAAGTTGTTATAGACTATCGTAATTTTTAGGCATTCAGTAAAAATTCAAACTTTAAATGCTTGAAAATAAATTTTAAATATTTTTTAACTACCATTGTAAAAATTAAAGACCGGTTTTTACATAAAACTCGTATTTTTATTTTCAATATCATACGCATGTAGTCAATGTGTGTCCACAAATCATTACTTGATTGATTAAATATCAAAATTTTATAGTACATATTTTTGCATATTCTAACGTAAGTGCATGTTCTAAATTTTTTTGCATATATAAAAAAAAACCGTACAAATATAGGTACTCCTAACGATCCAAAAAGGAAAAAAAACAGAATATAGGTACGTTTATATAATATTAATATAAAATATTTCACGTCTCAAAGGATATTCGGACGCTAAAAATAGGTTAGGTTATTGTTATTACAATTTTATTTAACCCGTCATCAGTATCGCTATATACTGTTACATGTTTGGTATCGTGTTAGCGTTACACTAACATTATCGTTTTTTTCGGTTCTGTGAAATATTTATTGAACTTGGAATAGTGAAATAAAGATAAAAATATTTGTCTAATTATATGCTACAATAATAATTATATTGATTAATAGCAAATTTCACTCAAATTTTTGGTAGAAAAAAAAACTATTATAAAAATTTAAAAAATTATAATTCATCATTCGAATTTTTTTCTCGAAGTGCCCACTACGGTAAGATTATGATTTTTTAGTAACTCATTAGCCAATGGAATTGAATTGTACCAATTGTCCATGGTAATATTTCGACCAGTTTTTAATATCGACGCTATTAGTCGTTTTACAATACTTGACGGAGAATTGTCACATTTGAAAGGGCCATCTGGCTGAGTTCCAACGTAAACCTCCATATTAGACGTATAAAATGTACGAGAATCAACGAGTGCCTGTATTTTGATGTCGTATTTATTTGGTTTATTTGGTATATATTGTCGAAAATTGCAACGCCCTCGAAACCCTTCTAGCATCTCATCTATAGTGCAATTCTCTCCCACAGTATAATTTTCTTTACATCGCCGAACAAAATCATCAAAAACTGTACGAATAGGTGCTAGCTTGTCTATTGCTCTTCTATCATTCCTTGTTTCAATATCATCAAATCTAACAGCTTGAAGTAGTAAGGAAAAACGTTTTTCTGACATAACTGCCCGGAAATATTCAGGAGAAAATCCATCAGTTGGCCACAAATCATGTAGGTTCAAATGATTGCTACGCAAATACGTACGGCTGTATGTAAACTGCGGCAAAATTTACCTTTTTCTAAAGATCGATATGTAAACTGCGGCAAAAAAAAAATTAAGATTATACAATCTGCGGCAAAACCGATAAGATACATTATACAAACTGCTGCAATTTATTTTATATAGGTACATTCTATTATATACTATATCATAATATATACCTGTCTATGTGTACTTAATATATAGGTACCATGTACGTAATTTGTCTTGCGTACAAATTGGTAAGGTAAATCCAAATGTATTTTTAAGTTTTAACGAAACATTTCGGTAATATCGGTTCCTGTACTTTTGTTAATACTAGTTAGTACCTACTTACGTCTTACAAGTGTTAGTAGTTAATATTTATTCAACGTCATGGAGTTTACAACAATGTTTAGCCAGAATGGCAAAATATTAACAGTGTTAAACAATTTTAAATTCAAATTTAAATACGAATCAAAGACAAATGGTAATAAAACATGGGAATGCGTCAATAAAACATGCAAGGCCAAATTGGTCATCAACAAGGAAAACATTTTTGATCAAGAAAAATCTGTTTTGAATCATAGTCATGAATCAGATTCTTCAATTGAACGTCAAGCAGTAAGTAATAATATTAAACGAAAAATATCTGAAAGCAATATAAACAAAATCCCATCTAAAATAATAAGAAAAGAACTTCGCAGTTTAGAAAACGATATTCAATTACTGGTTAATGATATTTCATATATTCGTAGAAATTTATATAATAAAAAAACAAAATATCACCCACCACTTCCCAAGGATATTAATGAAGTACATACAGTTCTAATAAATATGAATATTATGACTAACAAAAATGAAAACTTTTTGCTAATTAATGATAAGGAAACAAATATAATTGTATTTACATGTCTCACAAATTTAAAATACTTATGTTCTATGGAAAAAGTTTTTATGGACGGAACATTCCAGTTCTGTACTACATTTTTTTATCAGTTTTTTGTACTGCATGGTTTTCAAAATGGTATATATATGTCTCTGGTATATGCATTGCTTCCCAATAAACGTACATCGACTTATGAACATTTATTTAAAAAGTTACGTGATGCATGT